TCTGGTGAAACTCAGCGGCAGCAGAATTTCAGCCGAGCCTGGCCCGGCAGTGCCGCTGGAAAGGGCTCGGCGGGCTCCCCGGGAGGGCTCGGCTCCCCTGGGAAGGGGCTTCTGCCACCCCTCAGCCTCCATTTCCCGCCCGGGAGCCGCCGGGGTCCGGCCCAGCCCCCCGCAGGCTGCACAGCCCGTGGGGAAGCAGGGCCGGTCTCATCAAAGTTCCGCTACCTTTCAAGGCTAGAAACAAAGAGAAAGAAGGTCCCAGGTTTGGGGTTTTTTAAAAGGTGGTAATCACAGAGGCGGATCTAATTTTTAATGGTGCAAAATGTTGTCAGTTCTCAGAACTAGCCAGCTATTGGCCTGTCTCAGGCACAAAGGAAGCTCCCAGCAGCTTTTCCCAAAGAAATCTCGTCCGTGGGTGGTCCTTACTTTTTTTTTAATTGTCAAACTACCACAGCAGCGGCACCCCTCTGCGGGTGTGTAAGCTGCTATGAGGACTACAACTATACTAACAATTATTAATGCTCTTTTGGGACGTGCAAGCTTTAATATCACTCAGGAAAAAGACCAAAAACAAACTAAGATTTAAAGGTAAATTAATTTACTGACTATCAGAGTGTTTGCTGTTCCTTAAAGTCCTGGTGTGAATGGAAAAAGTTTCCTTTTAAGCGCTTAATTTAATTGCCTTGGAAGTTTCAGTCATTTAAGACATCATGGAGTTCTGGGATAATACTTCTGTGTTTTTTTTTCCTTCACTGTTTCCTCTCTCCCAATGCAGTAGAAATCCAGGCCTGCCGGGTCATGGTCAGCAGACAAAGGAGGTGCCATCCTTGTGGCCTGCTCCTTAAATCAGTGTCACAAATTTAGCATGTCTGCTGGGTCGGTTGGTTTTAATTGAAGTTGGATTGATGAATTCCTAAACTGGAATGAAACCTAAATTTCTAAACTATGGAGATTAAATTGTTTGAGGTGGGGCACGCCTGGGTGCTGTGTTCATGATGCACAGTGCTTATAAGCCCTTGCTGTTGCTGGAGACAACACACAAGGCTGCTTTAGCTCTGTCAGTGCACACTGCCAGGCTCAAAGGCTGTGTGGAAATCAAACTACTTCTATTTATTTTCAGTGTAGTAAGAATTGGAAGCCCATGACAGCAGACAGTAAAATTCCACTTAGTATACAAATTGAAGCTGAAAACATCTGGCTCCTTGTATAAAAGGTATAAATTTTTACAATGAGTTATGGTAAATACTGTGGTAGAGAGAAAGCATGACCTGTCTGCAGCCAGAAGTCAGACAAGAGAGTGCAGAATTCCCCCAAGTGGTTTGCTGGCTACCTGCCATTCCTCAACAGCACAAGATAAAATGGAGCACAGGGATAACCACCCTGACCCTATTTACTTGCAATAAAACACTGATATTTACATGAGATTAAATGGTTTGATATTCTGAAGCTGCCCAGCTCCAGTAACAGGAGACAAATGAAATGCTACTTTTTATAAGATCTGACCTACCATAAGCCAATAACACATGCAATGACTTAGCTAAGGGAGACTGGGACTACTTCATGAGGTACAGGCTCTCTTCCCAAGTTGGTTTAACAAGATTTCCCCCATCCTGGAAATCAAATTTGCAGTCATATTCCATACCACCAAAACTTGAGATGTGCTGATAATTTGGGGGGATAAAATAAGTGTGGCCAAACAAACAAATAAAACCCAAAAAAACCAAAAACCCAACAAAAAAATTTAGAAAAGCACTGTGGTGAGACTGATCCTTTTCCTCTGTCTTTGATTCAATCCAACCCCCATTAAAAGCATGTATTAAAACACAGAGTCATGTTTATTTGGACAATAAACATATTCTTAAACATAAAAGTACGCTACTGCTACTGTTAATATGACAAAAATTAAGCATCTCGGAAACTTCTCACAAAGTTAAAAAAAATCAAACAAAACTTTTTGCATCCATTTGGAGCACCTGATTTAGGTAAACTTGAAGCATATCACTTCAACCACAGCTTTTTTAGTATGCACTGTACTTTGTGAAATAAATTGAAAAATAAGGATATGTGAAAATGTTTTCTTCCAAGTATTGCAACACTGGTATATTCTCATGGGATATTTCTTTTTGGAAAATACTCCATTAGAAACATGACTAGCTGTAGCCTTTCTACATAAAATAAGCCTTGAAAAAATTTAAGCATGAAAAATTGTTAAAACTGGCACCTTCAATCTCAAAACCAAAAACCAAACCAAAAAAACCTGGTATCTTCAATGGAATCATGCTATCTTACCCATACTGAAAGTATGGTCTTAGTGCTTGAACACAAAAAAATACTCCTCTCTTAGGAAAACAGGCTCACTGGTAAAAGTGAGGCAGAGAAATTTAATGCCCTCACAGATTACAGTGCAAACAAATATAATGTAATTATATAACCAGTTTGAAACTAAATTCTCAGTAGATGGGTGATCAGCAGTTTATAACAGCTTTATCTTTAAAAGGCAAAGGCCACTTGGTAAAGAGGGCAAGAAAGTTTGTTCGTTTTCTGAAATAAGTCAACAGTTTTTGCAGTTAACAGCCAACTATTCTTTTGTGGGAATGCAAGATCTGTGCAAAGGCCGAACTTCAGCACAGTCATGACAGAACTTTAGTAGCAGCTCTGTCACCAGGAGGCTGCTGGATGAGCAGGCATGTTTCCTTCCTGCTGTCCCAGGCAGAGAAGGTGGTTTTTCAAGCAACTCAGTAACAGAATTGATTTTTTTTTTTTCTTACCATTTAACATTAACAGCTTTGTGAATTATTCATGAAAGTATGGAGGGGAAGCCTGAACACAAAAAACAAAGAGTATCTGTTTATGTGTGTGTCTTGCCTCTGTCCTGGTGCTGTTCAGCTCACACAGGATGGCTGCCTGTGCCTAAAACTGCCTCCTGTCATGACACATTTTCACAGTGTTTTTCCCCACTGTTCTGCAGTGAGAACAGGGGTCAACCCAGCCAACTTCCCCTGCTCTTAAAACACAAATGTTGGTAGAGACTGCTCCCTTCCTACTCTTTATTTATGGAGCCTGAGGACAGTGCCAGCAGGTCCAATAGCCAGGCTATTGCAGCAAAAAAAAAACAATGCCTTAATTCCATGTGATGAATATTACAAGGAGAGGTCTCCAGAAATTTCTTTTGTTTCTCCAGGTACACTGATGGATTTCAGCCTTCTGAGACTCAGGAATTTGCCACATGCCATCAAATTTGACGTATGGTGTGCCATTTCACTAAAGCAAAGGTCTACAAGCACATTGACTAAGTCAAATTATTTTCGGTTTTCAAGGTTTGTTTTCTTAGCAAACCTACGAGGCAACACTTTGCCTTGCACAGGATTATCTGTATTGCAATTCCTGCTTCAGATGACAATATTAGATGTTGCTGTCTAAATGAAGGTACTGAAATGTCAGGGAGATACAAAGCTGTATGACCTGTTACTGTAAACACTGTACTGTTTTCCTCCAGATCTGGACAGCATCCACTCTTGCTGCTTGGGCTACATCTGTCCTTTTGATGAAGACTTTTGTTCCTTAATGCCAGACGAAAACAAGCCAACCAATCCTTTGGCCTTTTCCATTTTCACCCCAGATAAAAATTCACAAGCAAATACTAAAAAGCCTGTATCACTTTCTGCTTGGGAAGCAACAGAGAAAATACAAAATTAAAATATCTTACCCATGGGTGTGCTATTAATATCAGCCAGTCTAGAAAGTAATGTTCTTTTATTTGTTTCTGTTCTGAGCTTTAGGCACTTTAAATTGACTTGGATCCACACATCTTTGCAATATTTAAAAGCCATTTGTAGTGCAGATAGTAAGAACTCTTTCTTACCATGTATATGGTACTGACAGGTTATGGCCTTGATCCTAACTGGGCCTTTTGGGCATGATGATAACTAAACACTTAGAAGAATGAAGATGCTGTAGTGTTATTTGGCAATGTCAGATACAGCTGGACAATTGTGGTTGTTGTGTCTAGAGACTTGCTTCATCAGGGATCATCCTGCTTCTGCCTCACAGAAATTATTTAACCAGATGAGGCAAAGAGTAGGAGGAGAGACACCAGAGCCAAAAACAGGAGCCAGAAAGCAACGCCCTTGTCCACACGACTCTCCTGGAAATAGTTCTTCGGGCCTTGGGCTCCAATTCAGGTTTTTCAGTGGATCCTAAGAACTTGGCTTGGCTTTCAGATATATTTCTGATCCCTCAAATATGGAGAGGCACACCAAACATTCCATTTCTATGAAACACTTATGAAAGATGCACACAGAAAATATGCTGACTTCCTTTTTCTCAGAAGATGATGTTATTCCCTTTCCCCGGGATGCTTTGTCAAGGTTGCCATCCCTCTTCGGTCATGCCAAGTGCTGTAGGACTGCTGTGCACAGGTCGGGGCAGGCAAACCCTCCTTTAGCCACTTGCCACAAAGTTTGCTTTCTTTTGGAGTGGGCCTAATGCCGGGGTGGGGGCTGGACTCCAGGTGAATCCCTCCTCCATGCTCAAATCCTGAGAAAACACAGGCGGGCCAGTGCAGACCTTGCCCTTTTCCCTTTCTTTAGCTATCCTTGTCCTCTTTGATATTCACAGACCCAGGAGCTTTCCCCGGTTTTCCTTTTCAGTTTTGCTCCCCAAGCTACTCGTTTCAGGTTTCCTACGGCTTTCCAGCCCACGCTGCTGCCCCGAGGCACCCGCCTGGCCGCGGCAGTGCCGCTGCGCTCCCGCCCGCACCCGTTGCAGACGTTTTCTCCTACACCAGGAGCCTTCTGTGCCGTCCGCTAAACCCGGTTTTAGCTGCTTCCCGCCCCGCGGGCGTCCTCTCCCGCGCCTCATCAGCTTCCAAACCTGTACCGGCCCAGCCGGGCTCAGGGTCCCCCGCGGCCCCGGGGCAGGGCGGAACTGGGCGGACCGGGGGCGGGCCAGGACGGCCACGGGCCTTTAGGGCCGGCGGGAGGCGGCGCCGCCCGGTCCCGGCTGCCGGCGCTGGCGTCGTGCGGCCCCGCCGCCATGGAGGTCGTGTGGGCCTTGGGGCAGGTGGCAGCCGTGTGGTTGGCGGTGGTGCTCGGACTCATCGTGCTGCCCTCGGCGCTGGGCATCTCGCTGGGCATCTCCGAGGCCTATATGCGGGTGCTGGTGAAAACACTGGAGGTAGGCGGGAGCTCTGGGAGAGAAGGGGGGTGTCGCCGGCCCTGTGTTCCCCGCGGGGCTGCGCCTCGCTCGCTTCCCCCCGGTCCCAGGGGAGCCGGCGGGCTGGGCACGGCTCGCTCCGGTCGGGGGGTGCGAGGGGCTGGATATCCCCGAGGAGCATCTGTCCACTCCGGTTCCAGCTGTCTCCTCCTGTAGAGGAGAGCGGGTGGGTCACGTCCTGCCTGGCATCAGCTCTGCCCGGCTGTAGCTTCGGGCTTAAAGCCCTGGGGCGGAGCTGGAGATCTGTGCTAATTTCGCGTAGGCTCTGGGGTGGTCTCCCTGAACCCGCAGGAGAGGGGAATAAACCTTGTTACCTAAGGCTGTACCGTGGCCTGGGCGAGGCTGTCGCTGCTCCGTGGCAGCTGTGCTCCACCTGGGGGAAATGTTGCCGGCTCATGCTCTCGAGGGGTGTAAAAGGTCTGGTGCTCAGAGACGTCGACTGCTATCCGAGTTGAGCACGTCCAGCACCTCAGTTGCCATCTGCCCCTAAATTCTCAGGGATAGCCAGTTTCTCGCAGAGGAGCTGCTTTCTGCATATTTAATACGGTTGTGAAAACCGTCCCTCTGAAGCTCATGGTAGTGGTGAGGAAGAGTGTTTTTAAATTGTTGGTGGACATGATCAGATTTAAATATTTATGACGCGTTTTTCAGGGAGGAGGGGCACCTAAACCAAGGAAACGGCTGTAAGGAGGAAAAGTGAAATGCCTCACGGGACAGTGACCGTGCAATATACATCAGGATGTGACTATGGAAAGTAGATTTTGTCTAATTTCATCTTGTTCTTCGAGGTTTTCAGGCAAGCCTTGTTCCTGTACTTCAGTGCCTGGCTAAAAAAAAAAAAATCCACCTATTAAATCAGCATTTGTTAAATGCATCTTAAGTCAAAATGTTTTAAGGCTTTTGGATGAGAATGAATCTGATCAAAGTACTTTCTGGGACTGTGAATGGTGTCAGGATTACTGTTGAGGAGAGAAGATGCAGTTGTTAGTGGAAAAAATGATTTGAATAGCAGAAGCTGAGGAGGCAAAGATTACCGGGGCCTGACAGAGCAATCCAGATGGCCTAGTGAGATAGTCTTGTTTAGATGACTTGCCTTCACCTGTGAATAATCACAATTTGCATTCTTTATTCCTAGATCATTAATCATGATTTTTAGTGTCATCAAATGTTGCAACAGAATATTTTGGGCAAAATTATGGAAAAGTATCTGACAGCATATTGATGATGGTTAATTGTGAGAGCTCTCCTGTTGCCTAAGGGAGGAAACAATGACTTATCTTGCAATATTTACCATTACTTTTGCATGAAATACTTTCTGGAGTTGCATGCTTCTCAATATAATAATAATTATATTAATACATGATTATATTGGACATGGATATGATATAAAATAATGTATATATAAAAGAAAAGGCAATGAAAAATTGGAAAGTATTCTGAGAAGAATCAGCTAAATTGGACTTGCTGTGGGAGAGTGGAGAAACTCAATCCACCCAGGTATTCTGCTTATCTCAATTTGGCATTATTTTGCCTGAGAATTTGTCCTCAGAATTCTTGCATGGGGATAATCCCTGAAAGGAAGTGATTTGTTGTGGGATGTCTCCTCTTCCTTGGCTCTCAGGTCTGTCTTGGTTAGAAGCCTGACAGAGGCGGATTGTCTGCAGCCAGGTCCAAGCAGCACCTGCAAGAGCACCTGAAGACATGTAATATCTAAACTGTGGATATTAATCAGAGTAATATTGGGAAAAGTGCTGTATCCTTGCATATCCAAATTTTAATTAAATTATTACATTAAAGTAAATTAAATTATTTAATTAATTAAATAACTGGTAAGGGTGTCTTTCTTTTTATAAGGGATAATTATTAATGACTATCAGGTTAACAATGAAATGTGCTGCTAGCTGGGTGTCTGAGACTTCTTGGGATGTTGAATTGCGGGTGTGTGTGTTTCTCCTGAGAAGAGTTTTTTGGCTCTGTGAAGTCATAGGATGCTGCAGTCTCTGATGGCTGAGGCCTTTTTCAGCAGAGCGTTAACTTATTAACTTCCTTAAGCTTCCTCTTCCACTCCCAGCCCTGGATCTCCCCAGGCCTTTTCCCCTCTTTCCCAGGAGGAGAGTGGGCTCTTGCACCTGCAGAGTGTTCAGTCAGGATGCTGCTGCTTTTGTTGCCTCTTTAATGGGCCAGAATACAGGTACTGTCTGCAAAGTGGTGGTTGTTTGTGCATCCCTGCTGATACCCAGTTGCTCCCTGGCTTTGCCGGTTTATATGCCATGTCTTGGCATAGCTGGAAGGACACAAGTGACTGTGGTTTGTTTCCTACATGGCCTATGTTGTCAGCTTTATTAGAGTCAATCTATTTTTAGGGTCCAAGTCTGTCCATAGTTCAGGGACAGTTCTAGTTTGCTGTGATACCTCTTCAGGCCATGTCAGATAAAACAAGACATCCAAGAATGACTCTGTGGTGTTCAGTTATTGCACATAGGCTGTGGGATGGAGCAAGCTGAAGATGATGGGGGGCTTGTGCTTGAACTTTTTCATGCCAATTTTAAAAAAAAAAACTTTTTCTGCTTGCTTCAGGAAGGCTGAAGCTTGTTCCTGGTGCTGGAATCATGAACTGAGAAAAGGGAGGGGAAAGCTCCTTTAGGAACAAACTGTTTTTGTACTTTGACCATCTGACATTTCTGACAAGGGACATCAGTTGGTGCACAATAGATTTTTCTCTCTGCTCAGCTGCCTCAGCAAGTACATGCTGCTAAGCAAAACGCAGCATGTGCAGATGAGGATGTGCTTTTGTTGGGTTGCACTTGGCCCTTAAGTACTGCACTAGGGATTACCAGCTTTATATGGATATATTTTTTTCCTATGTGAATGTATTTTTTTTCCATGTGATAGGGAATATTAGTAGAAAGTTGAGCTAAAGAAGTACAGCAGACAGACCACTTCCTATTTGAAAGCTTGCTTTCCCCATCATGTGGGTATTCCTGAAAGTGCATTAGCTTGCTTCTGAATTGCCTTACCAAACTCAGCAAACTTTTAGGAGATTGTTCAGTTTTGCCTGTAGCTTTTCTTCCAGTGTTAGTAGAAGGATTTCTGGCACCACGTTAGTATGGCTTTTTAAAATGTGGGAGTACTGCTCCAGAAAGATCTCCAGCAGCTGTTTGCCCCTAGGAGGAGCTAGTCTGGACTACTCACCTGCTGTCCTGATGCTTGTGAAGTCACTTGCCACAGAAATATTCCCTACTGCTGAAATGCTGAGGACTGTCTCTTCAGTCATCACAGCACTCTGCATTGCTCCCTGTTTATTTTTCAACATCAACAGATAGTTTCCAATTTTACATTTAGTACATCTTTACCTTGGGGTCTCGTTTTTGCTCTGTCTTAATTCATTGCCTCTTGTGAACTCTTAATATGATTTGGGGCCCTGCAAACATGCCATTGGAGCTATTTTGCCAAGCATTGGAGAATCCAGCCTTTCAGCAAGTCCTTTGTCTTACAGTGAGGCCCACAGAGCAGCTACTAGAGCAGCCACAGAGGATAAATTTCTCTATTTCCATCAGATTGTAGAAAATCTGGAGGACTGGTTTGGACTGTGTGTCTATATATTTGGCAGTAGCAATGAACCCCAAAAGTGATGATCTCTGCTTGATGGATTGCAGTTCACCTTGTTAAATACTTTGGGGTTTTTTTTTCCAGTCTGCTGGGCCTTTTTCTGGGTGTGCCTTGCTGCCTGAGACAGTAGAGTTAGCAGCAGCAGTCTGTACAAACTGCCCTGCTTGCCCTTTTCTAATGGGAAAATGTATTGTGTTTTTTAAACTGTGCAGTGCATATTAGTTGTAAAATATTAAGAAACAAGAAAGCCTGATGGGAGTGAGGTCTTTAGGTCACATTTGTGTCAGGAAACAACCTGGCTATTAACTAACATCACATTATTGTCTATTTCTGGGCTAATGGTTTGTTGATGACTGCAAGCACTTTTAGTGCACTCCCCTTCCCAATCTCTTGAGGCTTTTTGTGGGGGCTTGCAGTGAGCAGAGAGAGTGCTTCTTGTGTGGCTGGTTTTGCTGGCTGTAATGCACAGCAGATGCTATACTTGTAGGTGTTTTTCATGTCCTGTAACTGATCCATCAGGGTTTAACAGCAGCCCCTTGTAACAGAAGCAATTTCTGATACCTTATTATGCTGCCTGTAGGGAATGTATTTTTGCTGGAAAGTGTAATATTATTCTGTAGGTGGACATTAAGTGCAAGTTCCTTGTGTTGCAGATGACCTTGGCAACATGCATTGCCCTAGATATGAGGAAGAAAAAAGACCTCTCAGTGCCTCTGGTAAAACTGGAGATCGTGGCTGTGCAGGGCAGGTGGGATGGACTGTTACACTTGTCCTAGGTATGCCAGGCTGCAGCTTCTTCCCATGAGTCACCATCAGGATTGTGTGTGGTACCAGGTATGAGGGTGGGGAAGGGAGAAGGAGAGGACTTAAGCTGATAAATAGATGAATCACTGTGGGCTTTGACTGCTGCTTGTGTAACTCACTGGCCTCAGCAGCAAGCTTTGCTGACTAATGTCATTGCTCAGAGTCAATGAAGGCCTCTGTCTGTGTAACCGGAATCCTTCAAGGAGTCTTGGGCAGGGGAGAATCCGAGAGCTCTGAAAGCTGCCAGCTCAGATGGTAATGAGAAGCCTGTCTTGGAGACATGCCTGATGTGAATGATGCACCTTTGTTTACAGGGCTCACACTGACTTTTGGAATAGTATTAGCAAATTTTGTGCAGAATCTTGGATTAAATCCCTAGCCTGTATTAATGTAGACCCCAGTCCTTTGAAGGTTTTTATGTGTGTTTACCACAGATATAAAAATCAAGAGTCCTTGCACATCAATGTTTGTCAGAGCTGGGGGTTGCTCTCTGCTGTGGTTGCATCAGTAATTAATGCACCATATTCCAGATCAACAGCTCTTGTCTGAAACTGCTCTCAATTTTACAGCATGTGAACACTGTTAATAAGCAAATGCTGTTAAAATAACAGCAGCTGTATCCAGAGCTTGCCTTGAAGTAAGAGTTTGTGAAACTGCTGTAAAAGAAGCTGCTTAGCATTCCTTTTGCTGATGCCATTGGTGTTATCCTGTAAAGCTGAACTCTTTAATTGCTCATTGGATACCTGTCCACCAGGAAGGACTTGCTATGCAACTCCTGTGTGCAGAAGAATTTGGGAAGCTCCTTGGAGGCAGTGCCAAGGGTGTCCTATCAGAATGAGAAGTGCACAGGAGATGAGAGGGGACCTTTTGCCCTGACTTGGAAATGATTGCTCCTCTTGGTGGTGGTGGTGTTCTTGCTTCACACAAAACAGCCCAATAACTGGCATGCAGATTTTGCTGTGTTAAACAAAGTGGCATTGTGTGGGATGTGCTCTGCAATCTTTCTGAGGTTTGGAGAGATTCCAAGGAGGAGTGCTCACCTAAACTAGCACATAAACTTTTGTCTCTTATCTGGCAGTGCCTTTAAAAGAGGAACACCAGTGGTCTGTCTCCATGTGATTGCAGATTTGAGTAATCTCTCCCTTCCAAAAAATTATCAAACACTGTTAAGTCAGAGGTGATGTGAAGGTGGTAAATGAGGTGAAATGCTAAGCCCCATTTCTTAGGGGAGCAGGGCAATCCTCTGAGGTGTTCCTAATGATTTGTCTTTTGATCCCAGCGAAGAATATCTAGATGTGCTTTCATTAAATGACATGTCAGGCTTGGCTTTGGAGATAGTCAGACCTCAGAGGCAAAAATTGCACGTTTACAAGAGATTTCAAAAGCCCTTCCTAGCTCCAGATAAGACAGTTGGCAAATAGACAACTATCTTTCCTCAAGTACTGCGTAGGTCCTCTATGTGTGGCAGTTGCTTAGTGATGTGTAAGTGAAATTGATCTTTTGGCCACTTTGGATTTTTCTGAGGTGCTGATAAGTTAGAGGCCTTTTTTCAGAGGATGAGGAGGGAGACCTTTTCAGGGGAAAGTTGATGTTTTCCTTGCCTAGTAAAGTGTGTTATCTTCAGATTCTGTATCGTGTAATTAAAGCATCCAGGCTACTTTCTTGTCAGCAGTTAGGATATTAGTTTCAAAATCAGACTTGTGGTGATATTTGTAGTTCTGGGATCATGCTGGTATCTAACTTTACATTTTCAGTCCAATGGGTTGCCCTGCTATTTTTAATCTGTTCAGGAGCCTGGTGTTTTATACTTTATACTAAAAACACAAATCTGCACCAAGGTCCTTGGCACTGCCAGCTCAGCACCAGCTGGGAGAAACCACTTAGATTTGTGCCAATATTACTGAGAGATCCAAAAGACATGCCAGTCTGCTTTTTGCTCATTTCCTGAATAGAAGGAATGCTATGGCTTATAATTGTTTCATGCTTTGATCTCTAATATATAAGCATGTTGTTTTCCCCTCTTGTGGGATGGATCAGCTCACATTGTGTTAGCTCTTTGTAGCATAACGTTGTCCTTCAGCATAGGAACGAGCTGAGGCAGAGATGGATGACACATATCCCTGACTAGCAGGAAGGAAGGGGAATTACTCACATTACTGCGGGTGGTGTCTCTTGTTTCCCAGCCTGGATATAAGCAAGCTTTTAACTTGATCAAAATTGAGATTCTGGTTTTGATGGTAGTGCCTTTAATTCAGGTGCCTGAGAGCTACGTGAAAGAATTAGATGTTAAGTAAAAATTTCTCATTTCTTGCTCCTTGGTTGCTGGAACACGCATAGTTTTTGGAAGTATGATGGAATTGAGGTAAGAAGAAAGCGGACAGAGAACTTAAAATTTGTTTGCTCTGTCATCTGGTAGATGTGGGTCCTTAGGAATGCCCAAATGCTCCTGAACAAGAGGGGGAACTGGTCTCATCATTGCCTATTTTATTAAGTGTGCTTAAATCCCGAGAGTCCTGGCATGGAATGTAAAAGTGTCTCAGCCACTGACTTGTGGAGCAAAAGTTAGCTGTTCCCTGGAATGCTCTATGCAACCTTAGTACATGTTGCCACACTGGCATCAGGCTTGTGGCAGTGCTCCCATCTTCTGGGAAGGCACAGGTAGTTAGCAAAGGGAACTGTCCTCTCCAGGCTTTCTCTTTGCCTCCATTCTTCCATCCCCCAGGTGGGCTGCTGCACCTTTCTGGAGTTAGATGGACCTGAGGAGCAAAGGTCAGACCACTTAGGAAGAGGGAATGTGCCTTTCTGAATAGGGTTGATGAATGCATCTGAGGAATAGAAACTTGAGTGACATGACCCTATAATTTCTCTGCTTTGGGAAGATTGCACCGCCTCCTTTGCATACCAAAACGTCAAAGATACTGCAGTACAGGAGGGTGTTGCAAGCTTTTGGGCATTACAAAGGGCTGTCTCAATAACCTGTGTCCTCATGATTTGTGCTGAGGCTCAGGCTTTGACGCAGTCTAGCACAAACCCGTAACTGCAGGATTTCTGTAGCAAGAGCTTTCTGAAGGGAGTGTTGCATTCCCTTTCTGAGCACCAAAGTGTTCTTCTAGGTTTTAATTATCCCTTTGAGAGGATTTGAAAGATGAACATTTATTTTTTTCTGCTGGTGTGTATGGCTGAGACCATTAGCCAAATATGCTCTTGTTCTGTGTGATAAGTAACTTACCTGTTTGTGGATATTTTGATTTGTTGAATGCAGTGGTTCAAGTCTGGTCAGAAATGGTTGCGTAAATGGGTTGCCTCTGCACCCTAAATCCTACATTCCATGGACAAAATGTAAAATGACAGTGCTGTGAATCGGTTCTTCCTTGATCAGTGTTTTGATTTGGTATTTCCCAGAACTTTAATGGTCACAGTACTGCTAAGAATAATGTGTAGTCAGAAAGTTACTGAAAGTACTTGAGTACTACAGAAAGAACTGAGTTATTCCTACAGTTAAAATTATTTTCTAGAAGACCTATTGCCTTACCAGCAGTAGAGCTGAGAAAATGAATGATGATATTGGCAGGGTAGGTTGTGATTCAGCAAAACCTGATACAGTAAGCCATACTGGTTCATACTGGGAGGTTATCTGCTGCAGATGATGCTATGAGTCAGGATGCTGACCTTTCAAAAGGAACTGCATCTCCATATGTCCCACAGCTCATTTAGGGGGGAAAAGTGGAAAATGCGTGGTTTAACATGGGGCTGTGTCCTTCCTGTGCAGACCAAGCATTATCTGTATGCTCTTACAAAAATACACCTTTGATACTGATTAAGCTATTATGATTTGAACAGGATAATATCTCAATCTTTTGAGATGAGCTTATTTCTCCCAGGTGACCTGTCTGTCTTGAAAATGCCAATTATAATAGTGTTCCTAGAAATAGAAAGGAGTTTTGTGGAAGAGGAATTGATGTGCATAATGGGGAACTACCAAATCAGCCTTCTTTGACTGAACTTTCCATCCCTTAACAAAGCTGCCATGTTGGGAAAAGGAAGGATTCAGGCTAGAAGGGTTACTCTTGATGTCACAGACTTTGGGGTGGAAAAAGGATTATAATTAACCCAGTTAAAATGAAGCCTGAGATAGAGGGCTATATAAAAGCTCTCTGGTACTGAGTCAAATGGAGGTCAAGAAAGCCTTCTGCCCTGAGAAGAGGTTAAACTGGCTCATCAGTGCTGGAAATGAAACAAAGTCTCCTCTGATGTGGTTCTGCCAGAGGCTGGTGCAGGATCCAGGGGAACTTTGACACTCACTGGAGACCGCAGCTTACCTTATTCCATATTTCAATCTAATTTTCTCAGACCACTCACAGTAAAAGAGCAGGTTAAGCCCAGTGAGCTGGCAGCCCTTCCCAAGGGCTGGGGAAGGGGCTCTCTGTAGCTCACCCTAAAGCTGGTGAATTGGTCTGTTTTGCTGCTGCTCAGAGCTTTAAGTGAAAGCTGAGAGAGGTGGGGTTGTTCAGCCTGGAGAAGAGAATGCAACTGGAACACATTGCCCAGAGAAGCTGTGGACTCTCCATCCCTGGAGGTGTTTAAGACTTGGCTGGCTGGGACTCTGAGCAACCTTATCTGGTAGAAGGTGTTTTTGTCCATGGGAGAGGGGGTTGGAACTAGGTGATTGCTAAGATCTCTTCCAACCCAAACCGTTCTACGATTCTGTGAAGACGCCAAGAAACAAGCAGTTGCAGAGTCAAGGGAAATATCAGGTTTGCTCATCTTGGAAAATTGAGTGTGATCCTTTTTGGGTTGAGTCTGAATTTAATTGAAACTTCCCATGACTGCAAATGCTTTTTTGTATTTTAGTGAAATCAGCTGTATGCAGGGTTCAGTTTCACTTAACCCAGTTAGGACTTTGTTTTTTTTTGCTCCAGTATGATGAAACTACTCTGTAAGAGGACAGGCTGGGTTGTGGTATGTCTGTCAGCTTTGTGAACATGTGCTGTGTGTGTCCTTTGTCTAGCTCAGCTCCTGGGGCTTTCCATGCAGTCTGGACTCGGTGGCTGTTGTGGCAGTAGCAAGGCTGACAGAGGCCTTTCAGGCTCTTGGTGGCTGTGTACCTGAACTAGAACTGAAACAGGTGTGGAGCACTGAGTTGGCTCTCTAAAGACTGAAAGCAGAGTTGGGAAGTACTGACTAGCACAGAGTGTTGTTTTGGTTTGGTTTTCAAAATTGTTATTAATTGCTCTGGGTTTCTTCATAAGAACTGTATATGGGTTTGGGTTTGTGGACACATCTGAGGAAGATGAATGATGAATACCTGGTGAAGATGTTCTTTGAAAATCACAACATGTTTTTGGCTAACCATTGGTTTTTTTGGTGACTTTTTTCCTTAAGTGAATACTGCATTTGTGAAATGAATGTTTTCTTTCTTTTCAACAGTGGGCCACTATCCGGTTACAAAAAAGTGCCAAAAAGCCGCAGCCACAGGTGCCACGGACTCCTACTGCTAATGGTGAGAGCTTGGGTTAAAGTCACACTGATGAGACTAATGTTGTGATGTTGCAGTACTGATGCCTTCTCAGATGAAGCAGTTAGATATGTGCACGAGAGAGCCGGGGAAGAGGTGGCATGTTACATGCTCACTGAAAGTCATGGTTTTTCCTCAGGGAGCTGCTCACTCGCTGCCCCAGTGGGATCGGGGAGAGAACTGTAAGGGTAAAAGCCTGAAAACCCATGGGTTGAGATAAAGACAGTTTAACAGGGAAAGCAAGTCTCACACACACAAGCAAGAAAAACAAGGAATGAATTCCCTGCTTTCCCATGGACAGGCAGGAGAGCAGGGCCCCATCACGGGTAGCAGTGACTTGGGAAGACAAACACCACCACTCCAAATCTCCTGCTTTCCTTCTTCTTCCTCCCACTTTATATCCTGAGCATATTACCATATGGTCTGGAAGATCCCTTTGGTCACTTTGGGTCACCTGTCCAGGCTGGGTCTCCTCCCACTTTCCCAAGCACCCCCAACTTCCTCACCAGCTCGGCTGTACAAAAAACAGGAAACCCCTTGGCTCTGTAAATCATGCTCAGCAATAACAAAAACATCTCTATATTATCAACCATGTATTCAGCACAAATCTAAAACACAGCCTCATACTAGCAACTGTGAAAAGAATTCACTACCCCAGTGAAAATCAGCACACTTATATATCTAATTGTTTTGCAATGCTGCTGGCTAGGAAATGGTTCCTGCAAAATAGAGTACTGCTTTTACTGGCTTGTACTGAGATGAAAAATCAGGGGATGAGAAAATTAAGGGTATGAAACAACATGAAATTTAACAAAACAAAGTAGAGCTTAAGATGGAGACTGTTCTCAGTTGATGGAAATTTTTGTGTTTAGATATGAGGGTAATTTTCATCTTGAAATGTCTTTACCCTGATGCTTGCAGGGTTGCTGGCCAGCTATCTCAGTCCTAACAGCATTGGAGTGCACTTATATATTCTCTGAAGAGATCTGAGTGTTTGTTGGACAGTACTTTTCTTTCCCAAGCTCAGTACTTTTTCTGTGGTAGGACTGCAAGTTGAAAGTGTGTGGTGGGCTACTTGTCTTCTTTTCAGTCTGCTGCTATTGACCTTTTACTCTCTGGAGTTCATATCAGTGGTTGCAAAACTTCTTATGCTCACTGTCTGTAGAAAGACAGCTGAAAAGTTGCTTCATCTTTCTTCCTTTAGCCTAGTTTTGAAATTAGTTCTTTGTATCTTAACTCATACTGTGTGTGAGTTGTGGTAGACTGTAGTAGGTCAGAGTTGGCTTTAAGACTTTGGAGCCATGAGAGAAATCTGAGTTTGCCCAAGAACTAGGAGAAGGCTGAACAAGGCATTACGGCCAGCACTTGGTTTCCTCCTGGTTCCTGAATGCTTCAGTTATTTAACTGCTCTGTTTTGACAGCGTGTGGCAGCAGTGTAAGTGTTTTTCTGTGTGCTCTCTCTTTAGGCTGCACAGCTGGGAGCAGGCCCAGCCTGCCAGTTAGCACACGAGTCAGTTTTTACCTGAGCCTGTGGATTAGCTCATGAGAACATGATCCAGTAGTGGAGACTGAATTGCTGAGCTGGGTGTGTGTGTTTCAGCTCCAAAGGGATATCCTTATCAATACTGCAAACACTGGGATCATGCTATCTGCAGGCCAGGCATGGAACTGGCTTCCATGGCAGCAGATGCATCTGTCAGCATCTGTAATAGTAAACTGGAGATAGTGCACAGCAGCTCTGAAAATGGGTTAAAACTTGCCTTGCCTAATTGCTGACTTTCAAGTGGCTGAGAAAAAGTACATCCTATATCACTTACCAGTGTCCTGAAAGTTGTGGGGATTTTTGGGAGGAAAGGGGGAAGGCAAGGTTAGCTGTCCTTTCAGCTAATTGTCAGTGACATGTTGTCTGCTTCCCAGGTTGTCAGTGATGCAGGAAGATACCCTTTTTCTTCCTGTAAGGCTGATGGTGCCCCATCACATCATGGGCCAGTGAGAGGGCAAGAGACCCTACTCTGCTGCTTTAGCTGCACAGTAGGAACTGTCATCCTCCTAGACATCTGATCATTCTTACACACAGTTATTTCTTCTCTAGTAAAGAGATGTCAAGGAAGAGAGGTGCTAGCTAGTAGTTTATTTGAACTATCTTTAAAAAAAAAGAAGCTACAAATAGCTGTTTCTCCTGTGTGCAGCTGAGGGGTGTGTAGTGTTAATACATGCTGTGGTTCAGAACCTGTGTTAAGTGTACTCCACTATCTGAAGGACCGTTAGAGATAATAAAAATGGCCTGAGGTAATTCATATAGATGATTGCATGCAGGCTACATTCAAGCAGCCTTATGGATGGGGATACACAATCACAATGGTAGCCTGAAGCCCTTTTTAATGCCCTTTGTATACCTGAAATAAAGGTTAAAACCTTGCCCTGCTGGAGGTGGCTCTTTCTGCCAGAAGCTGGAGTCTTAACTATCCCTTACGTGAGAAAGTATGGGGAGACATGTGGTGCCAAGCTATGCTTCATATCTTGCTCTTGGGAATTTTTTAAGCATAGAAGTAATGGACTTGTGATTAGGAGCTCCTGGCTGTGAAAGAAAGTACTTGAGGGCCAGGGCAGGTGTAGGTCTAACAGTATGTTATATAAGTTGGTGTCCTCTGAGGTGACAGAACATGAGCAGACTGAGGCCCAATTGCATTATGCAATATTTACTGAGGGAGGAGAAACTCCTGCTGATAATGAATTATAGAGTAGTTGATTAAAACAGGTTAAAGGCAGATGTTTTTGTGTGTGTATGCACTAATGTGTAAGTGCTGAAAGGATGTGTGTATTACATTTTACATCTTTACTGACCACCCAGCCAGTACTAGGAGGTGGGTCAGGATAGGAGGGAGCACTGCAGATGTATGTGCAAGGGCAAGTTTTCCTGTTCCCTGGCAGAGCAAAAATGGTCCTCCCCAAACACTTTGAAATTGTATCCCTCAGTAAAAAAAAAAAAACAAACCTAAAAAAACTCCAACCAAAAAAAACCCCAAAAACCAAGTGATTATTATTGAGGAGACACCACCTTTCTCTGCAGTATCAAATCCAGTGTGCACCTCTTGGCAGAAACGGCAGTGAGTTCCCCTGCGTTGGTGGTGTGATAAGGAATATTTTCAACAGAAATTTAGCTGATCCAGTTACGTGGGGCATTATGTGATGCTGTCACCTCAAAATCCTTCTCTGCTAGAGGGCAGTGTGTGCTGGACCCAGTGGTAACTCTTGGCTGAGCAGGTGCTTGGAGGGCAGGTGTCTATCTCACTGCAGCTGGATAACTAGCTCTCAGCTCTCTGAGTGGGTGCTGGTTGTGTTGTCTTCAAGGTGGTGGGTTTAAAAAAGACAAAACGGTAGGAAGATATTTGAAAATCTCTTATATGCAAATAATGTTGGTAGTATCTAGTTACTACATAAGTAGATACTACTAAGGAGCTAATTGCTAGATACTGCTAAGTGGATCTACTTACTGTGTAAGTAAGCAGTGTCAAATTTGAGCCTGGTATAATTAGTTAACTGGAGTATGGCAGCTTGAAGGCTTGGGACTTGTGCTGCAACACTGAGAAAATCAGTGACTATGGCTTTTTTTTTTTGGCTGAGCAAAATGTTTGCTGTACTCCTGTGTACTGCTGTCTTTGGCAAACTCAGCTCTGCCCATGGCCAAGGGATTAAAGGCTGTTAAATGTGGCTTGTGATTACAAGAAGGCTAAGTACATCACCAGAGCAGCGTGTGTGTAATTCTGTTCTTAATACCTTCTGCTCATACTACCTTTACGTGCTGCTGAGATCTTGGCTTGAGGTAGCTGTCCCAAGTCTGCTGTCCCTGGTGCATGGGGGTGTCATGTGACAACGACAGTGCAGGCTGATGAAGCAAGACATGGTAGCCCTCCTATCTCAGCTTGCTAGCAGTGTGATAAACTTGAGCCCTGGGCCAATTCCTCAGTTCCAGCTGAGAAGCTGGAGCCAGATGGGCCAGCTGCTTGAGTGGTGCTGAATAAGGGGGAAGGACAAGGGCTGGATAAGGAGGAAACATTCCCAGCTCTTGGATCTGGAGACAGGGGTGGTACTTTTTTTATTGGTGCTGGACTGTTCCCCTGGTCTCTTGCCAACAACCTTTCAGCAACATGGAGCAGACAGGTTGGACCGACTCACCTGGATATTTCAAAGTTTGGAGATTTTCGGAGTGCAAGAAAAATTGAATCAAAAACTAGAGCTCTGATTTGGGTTTAACATATGACATAAGCGTGGTCCATTTTGGTGCATGCTCGTATAATTAAAAGCCTGAAGAGCATGTGGCTTTTTGGGTGTGCCGTATTATTAATGGTTTATATTTGTAGGCTAGTGATAGGACAATGCACTGAGGTGGCCTGCTGGTTCAACTGGAAGTTGTAGCTGCCAGGTTTCAAGCTGAAGGTGCCAGTAGGTTTTGTTGCAGTGTTGTTCTTCTTTAGTGTTTACCTTAGTGGTTTGTGGGACTTACATCTTCGAGCTTCCCATGTTATCCCATATGTATGTATGTGCAATACGAAGATTTTCCATATCCCTTCTAATTTAAATGTTACAATTATTGGCACAGGAAATATATTGAGAGATTTTCTGCTGGCAAGACTTCATTGGAAGGAAGATTTCCTACAAAAAACACATCCTACGATGTGGAAAATTCCTAGCAGCTTGACAAATTGGGTGCTATGTCCTTTCCTATTTTTTTATCTCAGCATGTAAAGCACAAAGATTATGTAATTTATCAGAGGGTGTCTGACAGAGTGGCAACCTGAACTTGGACTTCTGTAATCAAAGTTGAGTGTCTCAGGGGATGGTTGTTCTGGTTAACTGTTACTCTAGATTTCTTTAGTCATCAGTTTCTGGAGCCAGACTTGCTTACCAGTAAGCAGATACTTGATCTTTGTTTAGCTTACACAATTTGTTCTTGCCTTTGAAAACTCTGATGAAAAATTTGCGCTTATCAGGCCATAAGCTTAAAAAATTAAAAGGGTGGAGGAAGGGGAATACTTGTTTGCACTGCAGTTCTGGATGCTCCAAGTTTCTCTCCAGGCATTATGTAGTCAGAGTTGAGCTGGAACAGCTGTTAGTGCTGAACTAAATCAAGGCTCCTCTAGGCACAACTTCCTTTGACATGATGTTTTGGAGTGTTTTTCTTTGTTTGGTTTTAAGTAAAATAAAAAAAATTGTGTGGTCTACCTGTATTTACAGAAAATATTTGTCCTGTGAAGGCAGGGAGGTGTGTTCGGTTCAGAGCTGGTCCATGCACAGTGTTGTGGTCTTGGGCTTTGGCAGTATTGTGGCTGTGAGACACCAGAATGTCAGACAAAAGATGGGAATAGGGAAGCCTCCATAAAGGAGATTGAATGCCCTTAAGTACACAGAGTACAGAAGGGAATTGAAAGGCCAAGGTCTCCCTTGATTTCTTGTGAAAGCATAAGAGAGTCCTGGGTAAAGTTTGAGTTGAGAACATGCCAGATGGTGGGAAAGAGTTTGCTTCCTTGCCTCATGTTCAGTAAGGTAACTGAACTTTATACAGTTGCTACTCACTGTGCTGGTGTAAGGAAGGGGAGCTGGAAGTGACCTCCTGCAGGGTATGCTGTGTTCAACTGCACAGCTTCTCTTGTCCTAGGAGGGCCTCTGACAGTAAATTTGTCTCCTTGAGTAATACAGAGCGACAAGTATTCTGGAGGGTAACTGTTACATCACAGAACTATTTTCTCAGGTGGTTACCCTTTTCCTTCCCAAGGTATCATTGAAAGAGATGAAACGCCTATGGAGAAAGAAATCGCCCTTCTGCATCGAGCAGACTTCGAATTCTCCCACATTTTCTACTTCTGCAGAAAAGGGTTTGAGGCCATTGTGGAAGATGAAGTCACTCAACGATTTTCCTCAGAAGAGCTGCTCTCCTGGAATCTACTCACAAGGACTAATGTCAACTTTCATTACATCAGCCTGAGGCTGACAGTTGTGTGGGTCATTGGGGTGATAGTGCGGTACTGCTTCCTCCTGCCCCTACGGTAAGCTCTGGTGCTGAGGGGTTTTGTTAGCCTGGGAATGGTTAAATTTGTGTTTTCTTGGAAAATGTAATCTCAGCTTTCTTTAACTAAAAAGCAGCACTGGCAGCTATAAAATATTAAGTTGCTTAAAGGCTCCTTTTATGTAAGAAGCCCTTACTCACTATGGAGAGTAGAGTAGGCCTGGTGGTCATCTTTTCCATGAATGCTTCCCCTAAGTCCATGTGTATTGGCAGAACAAATATAAGCTCTAAAGCTCCCTGACACTGTGTGTGCATGGGAGTATCTGGATCTGCTGCCTTTGCTACACCATGACTTTAAAAGCAATAGGTCAGGGAATTGATGAGTTAGAGAACTGCGTATGTCAAGTGTCTGAGGAGTAACTGAATTTCTTTAATCTCTTTCCTTTTAAAGGGGAAAAGTGATATTACAATGAGCAAAGCTACTTAGGTTTAATGTCTGTTTTGTCTGTAGCTTCACCCTCGCTGCCATTGGGATTACGTCAATGATTGTGGGAACAACAGTGGTGGGACAGCTGCCAAACGGCAGGTAGGTACTGTGTGTGAGGAATCAACTTGCCAAATTGCATCAGTGCAAACAGCTGAAGATTAGGAGTGGATAAATTTTTACTTATAACAGACTACTGATAGTCCACCCACAAATTTGTAGACCTTGTTTCAGTGGCATTTTGAATTTGGACTGAAGTTGGGTTCTTGTCAGTCTTGGCACTGAGGGTGATGATTTTTGATGGGCTCCTTCTGCTGCCATGAGATATATTCAAGTGGGACATTGTAGGGCAGGTAGTAGTGTTGGGATGAAAAATACCCAGGAAAGAGAAGGCAGCCTTGCCTAGCTAAGTGGTGCCAAGAATATGATGTATCTTGGCTGAGCTGCTGTAGCAAGTGGGTGGTAGAGCTGGGAATATCTCTCTGTGCTCCAGAATACCAGGAAAATTTCAGCCCTGAGTTGTGTTGAGTAGGCTGGAGAATATTGCATGTGCATCTAGCTGCTTTCCAGGATGCTTCAGATGTCTGATTTCTTTCAGTGTGAAAAACTACCTAAGTGAAGTGGTTCACCTCACATGCTCCCGCATCCTCGTCAGAGCTCTGTCTGGTACTATCCATTACCATAACAAGTGAGTGAGCGAAAGTGTATATATGCTTATGTGCGTGTGACATCCCATTGGAAATGGGGACTGCTCTCTCCTGAGCTGCAAGTTGATGTCACACTAGAGGCTGACTCACCTGGCAACTTCATGGACCTTTTTGGTGTGTAATGTGGTGGTGCTTAGTGCACTATTAGTCTAACAAAAATATATGTTATTGCAGGGAAAACAGACCTCAGAAAGGAGGAATTTGTGTTGCCAACCACACATCACCGATCGATGCGATCATTTTGACAAATGATGGATGCTATGCAATGGTATGAAGAGAGCTAAAATAACTACATCAGAGGGACCAGGAGAGGGAAAGATTTTGGGGTATTGCTTGTGGACTTCGGTACTTAACTTTCACAGCAAAGATGTTTGCTTGAGCACTGGTCAGTGGGGAAAAGTGTAAATGGTGCTGAAATTGGTCTATATTATGTTCTGGAGGAGTTGTCCTTGGAATGTCAATGCCAGGCTCTTAATCTGTTGAAGTACCTAAGATAGGCTTCCATGTGACTGTCTAAATTCTCTCAAGTGAATGCATTTTAACAGTTCTGTGGTTATTGCTCAGTCCTGGCTTGCAGCCTCCCAGTGCATTTGGGTTTGTTGGATTTTCTTGGAGGGGTGGAGAGGAGGAAGTTCTACCTTTCAGGTGTCTCAGATACTGATGTGCCTTGCTGGGCTTGCAGGTGGGCCAGGTTCATGGTGGGCTGATGGGCGTTATCCAGCGAGCCACGGTCAAGGCCTGTCCTCACGTCTGGTTTGAGCGCTCAGAGATCAAGGACCGCCATCTAGTGACAAAAAGGTGAGGTGTGTGCTGGGCTGCCTCCCTGGAGAGGCATCGGGCAGTCAAAGACTTGGATTTGGGAATGAGTTGCAGGGCTGGTGTGCAGCACACTGCATCACACAGAATGACCCGAGTGTGCTTGCTTGTGTGGGCTTTGGCACAGAACACTGCGGTCAAAATGTCAGGCTCCCAGGTCACCAGAGAAGGCTTGAAACACATTTATACATAGTGTCATGGTTCAGACCCAAGGCTCTGGGAAGGTTTGGATTGCAGACTCTCACACAAAGCATCTCAGTTCGAAGGCATCAGCATAATAACTAATGTCTGATGAATTCAGGTGTGTATTTTTGAAAGGGTGTGAAGGTACTTAACTTATGTTACTTTCTGTTGAAGAGAAATAAGGATGGTAAAATTAGCTTTCTGTGACAAAATCTGTCTCAGTTTCACTGGAATTTGTGAAATGAATAGCTTTGTTTATTTGGGTGAGAGGAAAAATGTCTTGTTATAAGAATATAAGCTGTGTACAAAAGTGGTTTCCTGCAGGATGTCACCAAAAGCATACCCGTGAATACTGTAGTACAGGGATAAAAATTCTTCCTTTTTTGTAGAGAACTTTTTAGGCTAATTTTGACAAGTCAACTTCTTCACTGGCTTATTGGCCTCTGCACAACAGGACAGTTTTACCAAATTGTCCAAGTGTTATTCACATAGTGTGAACTGTAGGCATTTAGAAGTCCCCTTTTTAAGAAATATGCTAAGTAGCAGAGGCTGGATGGACTACTGCATCAGTCAGGTTTTTTTCTTGAAAGCTGAGATGATCAGAGTTAGTTGGACTGGCTTAATGGCATAGAATTGTTAGGTTATCTGACAGTCATTACTAAAGTAAAGTGGAGGAAAGAAAACAGGATATTATCTCAGTGTAATGTTCCAGGAGCCTAAGGGATGGCTGGCACAAAGCTTCAGTTTCTGTAGAAAAGAAAAGTACAAATTAGTACTAGTACAGGGCTTTGGTTTCATACATTTATAATATATAGAGGTATTTTAAGTGCGCCTGCCTGGGGAAAGAAGAGTGGAAAGGAATTGTTTTTTAAGCTTTCCTTCTGCTTCCACAGACTCAGGGAACACGTGGCAGATAAAAGCAAGCTCCCAATCTTAATTTTTCCAGAAGGTAAGAAACTGAACTACTTATGTCCATTCAGTGCAGATGTCATCCCTGTTCTCTTTTAATGGCTTTTGCTGCTCAAATCCATCTTCACTCTGGCTTCTACTTTGTTAGGTCATTCCTGGTTTTCATCTTTAATATAGGATGAATATATATGGAGACAACACAATGCTGTCCCTGAACGTTGCTTCTCCTGGCAGAAGAAGGGGAAGGTTGTTTATTTTGCCCTGAGATTATTAATTTGCTGTCCCACAGATTAAACCTCAGCATTGTGCTTTTTGGCTTGCACACCTTCTGGCTTCATTCAAGGAGTCAGTCACCAGACAAAAGTAAGCAGGGAAGAGATGCTTAAGTCAGTGAGCAGCAAATGCAGGCCCTTTATGGGTAAGACCTATACGTGGATGTTGTGTTGTGCTGAAATGTCTGTGTGAAGCAATGACTTTCTCTTCTGGACAGGCACCTGCATAAACAATACATCTGTAATGATGTTCAAGAAGGGGAGCTTTGAAATAGGAGGGACAATCTATCCTGTTGCAATCAAGGTAAGTGGAAATAGCTGGCTGCTGAATTTCAGAGTTTGGGGCAGGTTTTTGTCAGAGGGGCAGGAAGCTGTCTCAGTACAGCTGCTACTGAAAGCGCAGTATCTCTGGCAATTGGGTGCATGCTGTGGATGGTTCCTGGAGAATAAGTGGCTGAAATTAGAGTGAAGTCTCTCAGGCCTATGGAGCCTGGCTGTTAGGCCCTGATGGGGTCAGCTTCTTCATCCAGAAAGCTGGAAGAAAAAGAAATCCAGCTAGTCCTTCCCAATGCTGAAGGGAAGCTTCCTGCCTCACAGCAGACTTGACTCTTTTGGCTGTTCAGATAAATGGGTGACATCTACTGCTGGTTCTGTCACGTAATTCCAGGTCTGAGAGGCTGTGATGGTGTGGGGAAAGGCTTAATCAATTGTTTTTTGTGATCCTTTGCAGTATGATCCTCAGTTTGGAGACGCCTTCTGGAACAGCAGCAAATACAACATAGTGAGCTATCTGCTGCGAATAATGACCAGTTGGGCCATTGTTTGCAATGTGTGGTACTTGCCACCAATGGTTAGAAAGGTAATCCAGCATCTGGTTGCTTGACTGTTATTTAAGAACTTGATTGCCTGAAAGTGCACTTTTACTCTTTTTTTCCTCCAAAACCTCTACCCACCCCATGTCTCCAGTTTTGTACTGGATTTCTGTCAGTGCTGACTGATACATGATTTGACTCGATTTTTCCTGATGCAGCTTGGCACCATCAGCAGTGCATCAAATATGCAAAGGATAGCAGTAAATGCAGTGCTGTTCCCAGTAGCAATAATGGTAATGGTCCATCTTGTTGAAGAAAAATTTTCTCCAAATTTCACCACTCTAGAGGAAAAATGAGTTATTATCACATGGGAAGATCAGATTGTGATGTTGGCATGATAAGGAATGAGTTGTTTGGCAGTGAGCTAATTTGATGAGGCAGCAGATAAAAAAAGGTTATGAAAGTTTGCTTCAATTGACTTCTCTCTGCTTTAATTATGTTGAATTTATGAACCTTGAAGGAAGATGAAGATGCTGTTAAGTTTGCCAACAGAGTGAGGTCAGCCATTGCTCGCCAAGGAGGACTGACTGAACTCCCCTGGTGAGTGATGCCATACTTGTTAGATCATAGACTGTTTGTGGTTAGTTTGACTGATAGGTGCTTCCCTCTTTAGCTTTGTGACATTCAACATCACTTTATTCCACTCAGGGAAAACAATGGAGTAACAGCACATGCATGTATGTGAAAGTAGAAGATGTATAAAATCTTTGGAGCATGTAGCATACAGTGAGTTTCGTCTAAAGGCTTGTTGCTTTTGAAGTAGGTCCATTCACAGTTGTTTCTCATGTTGAGATTAAGTAGCAAAAGTGAAGTTTCTTGGCAAATCTGATGAACAACAAAAAATAAAACAGGTCTTGAGGCTTTATGCTCTTTCTCATGTCCTGCCTCAGTAAGTAGCAGGATAATGCCTAGATTTCATATGACACAAATTTGAGAGCAAAATTCAGATGAAGAGAATGGGAAAATAGATTCAGCTATGAGACCTAGCCCTGAATAATGTAAGGCAAAACACAACTGTAGTGTTGCAGAAGATTGGCTGCCTCTGCAGTCTGGGGAAGTAGCATCCCAGATTACCAAAGATTTCCATTGTAAGTGTAGCCTGTTACCAGCATTAATAGACTGCTTTAATTGGCTGAATTCAAAATTTGAATTGCATAAGCTTGGTGGCTTAAGGCAGAGCTTTTAATAAATGTGCTTAAAATTGAATGTTAGAGAAGTTCTGAAGAAAAGCCTTTAATAATAGTAATAATAATCATTTAGATTACCTACCTTAATCAACTGTAGTGTTTTAATGTAATGCGTAGTTTAATAACAATAGCCATAACAGCCCTGATGGTTTACTGTTCCCTCTTGCTCTGTTCCAGGGATGGAGGTCTGAAACGAGCAAAAGTCAAAGATACTTTCAAAGAAGAACAGCAGAAAAACTACAGCAAGATGCTAGTGAGAAATGGATCAGTAGGAAGCTTGTCTGCAGAAACTGAGTCAGACTGAATGGTGGTTCTTGAAAAGTTACTTTGCACAACCAGCCTTTGCAGGAGTAATGTGGCTTTTTTAATTAAAAAAAAAAAACCTGACAAAAAATAGAACAAGAAAACAACAAAATCATTTATTGCGTGTATGCATATTCTCTGTGTGGATGGTGAAGAGCTTGCCAAGGGCAAGTGTCTGTGTTCCTCTCTCTTCATTCTTTCACTATCCAGCCCCCCTCCATCTTCATGTGATGATGAAGCTCCTGGTATTCCCAAGCTGAACGCCTGCAGAGTTAGAAGATGAAAAAAACACCCCAGTTTTTCTGAGTTTGTAAGGATGAAGGGAAGTACACTGAACAGATGCAGTCAGGACACTGTGAAGATACCTCTTGTTCATGGTACTTTTTTTTTGCTCAGACTTTTTTTTTGTAGATATCTTAACATGCTTATGATGTGGTCAGAACTGTAAGATTGACCTTTTTGTTAGCTTGCACCTGGATGTGCAAGGAGGGAATGGAAGCAAGGGCTACAGAGACCCTACAGGGTGGGAAAGGAGCTGCCCTGTCAAAAGTACAGAACATGAGCCATGAGGAATTTGGTTGCCTTTTAACATGGTATTGCCCTTATTGGGAACTGCTGCCTGATGGAAGATAAGGGCAAGTCCTCAATCTCCCTGTCCATTGCTGTTGTTGAAATTGCTTTCTTGAGCTCCGGAGCTGTAAAGGTAAGGTACAGTAAGGGTTAAATAATGTAGGCTATAACAGATGAATTTTTGTGGATTGTCAGGAGTGCCCATCTACGAAAATTATTGTTAATGGCTTGAAGTTCTCAAGAGAGCAACTCCAGAAACACATTTTGTTTCCTGGACTAGCAATAGCTATCACAACTATAAACATAGGATCCACAAGTCAGCTTTGATATGAGACATGGCATGTCAAAATCTGCAATATATTGCTGTTTGAATGTAATGAGAAATAAATTCTATATTTCTAATGGGTCTTGTGTTGCATTACTACTGTTCTCTAAATCAATATAATTGAAAAAGTTACAGTTCCTGAGATCTTAACATTGGAATCATGGAAACTTCAGCCACCAAGATAAAGGACCAACTGTAGTTGAGTTCTACAGATTTCTAACCTGACTTTCTTGCCTTTTTACCCTCTCCTTGGCCTCTAAGGTGCATAGATGGCTTCTGTTTATCCTTAGAGTAGGAGGCAGGCTCATCTTGAAATTACAGCATGAAGTCATATCAGGGAGACTCAATGAATCTGTAATTAACTGGGAAACAACAGCTTCTAAATTTTTAGCTGAATTAATTTCTAAGTAGTGTTTTAGCAAAGAGAAATTAAAGTTAATGTGAAAAAAATTACTGTTCTATAAATCAAAATTTAAAAATCTGCCAGAACATAGTCTCCCAGAATAAGAGTTCCTGTTTGCTGTTTTGCATTTACATTAGGACAAATACATAGGGAAGTGTTTTTGGGTTTAGCATGGCAGGCCTTTGAGAAGGAAATTATTTATGTTAAAAGGGTTAGAGAGGTAAGTAAGACACAGCAAAGGCTTTTTTGCTTAAGGTGGACCTAGTTCAACTGTGGTCTGAGTTGTTATTACTGTTAAAATGTCATATAAGCTTTGGGCTAATGAACATATTTGTCATAATTTATGGATATTAGCTGCGAGCTTGAACTTCCCTGGATTGCACTCACAATAGGAAGCTTTGTAAGGACAACTCTTTTAAAAACATGCCTGTCTGTTTTATATGCCTACACACATGAAATACAGTTTAGGTAACACATTTGAAAATCTACTCTGTATAAGTATTGGGGATACATATTTTGAAAGTTTCTTATAAGGTATAGATTATGTATTTCTCTGCAGATGGAACAAGAATTGCTCTGGTTGAAGGTTTAAATACATGATTCCTGTGAGAACCTTCACAGCCTGTTTACAGGCCCTCCGCTTTCTTCCCGCTTTTGGAGTTGATCATCAGTAACTGAACTGCAGTGGTTTTTTGGATGCTTTGTTAGGTGCATGTATTTACAGCAACAGGATTGTGAGCTTTGACAAAAGTGCCCAAGGCTGCAGTTTTCTTCTTGCTTAGGGCAAAACTGAATTTTAAGGCAAAAAGCTCTGCTAAGTTAAAGGGTAATGACAAGGTAATCCAATGACACTATAATGAAATGTCTGACAAGCCAAAGGGAGTTCTGTGACTTAATTACAAATAGTCTCCACTGAACTGATTTTTAACAAAATCTGCCTTATTTTGGGGGGAACTTGTCAAGGAAGTGTGTAGATTTAGCTGTATGAGTGGCGCTGGCCATGAGAAGAGGCATCATGCAGTCATTTCTTAATTGAGAATATGTAGGTGAATAAGCTGAGGTTTCTTGAGCCTGCAGCAGCTTTCATATCTTTGCTAAGTAGAAAGTCCTGTGTGTTCTTTGACTCTTGGTGGTGTATCCCCAGACTTCTCACTTAGCTCTGAAAATGTATTCAGAGAGGCTGAATGTGGGCAGTGGTGATAACTAATAGGTGGTTCTGGACTGTGTCCCAGATTTGTTACAGACTTGAGATCCACATGATTGGATTGGTTTGATTTTTAGTATGGAGAAGTATTTTTATAGGGCAGCAATGTACACCATGATGACTAAAGCAGAGAGACAGTGCATAGAAGGTGTGACTTGACTCACTGCCAGTTAGGCCTCTCTCTACTGCCTTTTGAAAGCTTTTTGTACACTTTTTCCTTTCCCCCTGACAGATCTTGGAAATGTTGCGGCTGTATTGGGTTAAATGAGTAGGGAGAGCCAAGAAATCAATGGTTAAACTGGAAGTTTTAGTTTCTGGTGCTGGGCACACAGAGCATTGATTCTTATTTTAGGACCTAAGTACATATTTTTGTTTAGATTTAGAGAAAGGCCTTTGAGTTTAGAGAGAAGTTGTCCTCTTTCAAGCTCTGAGAAAACTCTACAGGCCTTGGACAGGTAGGTGGTTTTAAAGGTGTTGATGCAATCCAATTTGAATGTTAATAATTATTTTTCTGCTGCTAAAATCTGTTTTTTTCTACCTTGAGCACAGTGGGTATAGCCAAGGCTTCCCTTGTAAGCTGTTCTGCCTCTAATACATTAAATGTATGAAGACAGCTCCTAATTGACATGAATGAGGCTAATGAAAAAAAATCAATTGAGAGTCTTTGGAAACTTGTTTTAAAAATCTTAGTGTTGATTCTGGAAGTTTCTGGCCCAATCCTGAAATTTAAGGTCCCTAAAAATGTCTTTGTCTCCCTTATTACTGAAATAAAATGATAAAATAGAAATTGATGAAAAGATCTCTAGTTAAGGTTTAGGTCTTCCCTCAGTATTTATCTGGTCTAATTCACAGAAGACTTCAAGTGTCAGATTGGCAAACGTGATTTATTCCTGCTCTTCCTTATTTTAACCTGTGCTTCTCAAGAACTGAGCAGTCCTGATACTACCAAATTCTTGCTTAAGGAATGGAAATTATTTCAGACAATAATGAGATATGTAAGGAAAGGGTCAAACCCCCAAAAAGACACAACTAAGGTGAAAGCAGACTTTAGCTGTGAATCCTTCTCCAAGGTATTAATACTAATGCTTTGGAATGAGTTCCTAGTTCTGATTTTCTTGTGGATGGTGGACATAAAGTAGCCATTGGATAAACAAAAATATTTATCAGTACAAGCTCTAAGGAAGCCTGATTTTATATGTAGCTGTGCCTCAACTCAGACTGCAAGCTCTGATTGAAGCTGTGGCACAATACAGTGTTATCACAGAATGATTTGGGTTGGAAGGGAACTCTGATGCTTCCAGGGTTGGTGCCTCTACCACCCCTCTGGGAAACCTGTGTTAGCATTTCACTACCCTCATTGTAGAAAAATTCATCCTTATCTGTAGTCTAATTCTACCTTTTAGTTTAGAACATTACCCCTTGTCTTATACCAAACTAAAGTCTCTTCCCATCCTTGATGTAAGCCTCCTACAAATACTGAAAGGCCATCACAAGCTCTCCCTGGGCCCACTGCTCGAGCTTGTTCAGGTATCCCATCCTCCAGGTTTTTCAACAGCACCACTCAGCTTGGTGCCATCTGCAGATGTGCTGAGGTGACACTGGATCCCAGTCTGTCATGGATGAAGTTAATACTGGTCCCAGTACATCCCTCTGAGGGACACCACTGAAGCATGATGTAGGCCAGTATGTGCCACAGAACAGAGCTTGACTCAGCCCTGTGTGAGGATATGCAGTTGGACTGAGAGCTAGTAAAAGTCTTGAGGATTTTTAATATTTGTGTGACAAGCTGGCTGCTCCAGTCTAGTAATGAGGGTGAATTCTTTGATTTTGTCACAGATGTGTTTTTGGGTGCTGCTGTGCCCTGAAGAATGTGGCCATGCAACTACCAATCCTGATTTGTTCCCATCAAAAAAGTTTTTTTGTTTCTCTGAAATGAACATCATAAAAACAGAAGAACTGTGACCTCAAGAGTCAAAATACAGACTCCAATGATTGTTCACTGTCTTCATCTTTTTATTAAATTTTTCTGAGGTTCTTTTTTGCTGCATAAAATCCATACAAATGAAATACAAGCACAGTCAGTAAATAGTAATGAAAGGGTAAATGCATTTTTCAAAGAAGCCAGTGCATATAAGACATCGTCTGGAATAATGATGATTTTTTTTTTTCTTTTTTTTGCACAGATCACAAAGCTATTACTGTCTTTTAAAATTAATATCTGGTTTTTAGGCTCTGTAATGATTTGTGTGACCTCTTCTTACCCTTTGGCTAATAAGAAAAATTATATTGTTTTTAAATATATGACAGACACAAGATATAATTGTATGGATAAGACTGATATTTCTGTTAAATAGCATGGAATGGCAAAGTGCTTGGCTCAGTTTTCCAAACTGTGGCTGCCTTTGGGCAGGGAGGTATGAATTTGTATCTGACCTTCAGCAGAGCTGCCCTGCAGCCCAGTGAGGAGGCACAGTAAAATCTCCCTGCCAGCTTCCCACCTCTCTTCTCAGGCCAGGCATGGTATAAGGTTGGAAACTCAGCTAGACATGGCCTGGTTGCCATTTGTGCATCTCTGTGGTGGGAAGGGCCTATCCTGGACCTGGTTCACTGAAATCTGGAATTTCCACCACCCCCAGGGGCAGTGACTTTGTTGTGTCCTTGTGCTATGGTAGTGTGCAGTTCATGGGCTGGACTGTATCCAGTTTTTTCTTGCAAACCAGATGATGTTCTGTGCACACAACATGTCTTGGAGACCTAATTTTTAGGGATTTTAATTTCAAAGAGAGCCTGAAAGCTGAATGACCTTTTACTTCTGTGAATTTGTGTCACGTGATGCCTTGACACTATTCTACCAGGGTAGCTTGGTTCATTTACTGGAGTCATGTCAGTTCTTAAGGAATCACAGAATGGTCAAGTTGGAAGGGACCTTCCAGATAATCTTGTTCCAACCCACCTTGCCATGGGCAGGGACATCTTCCACTAGACCAGATTGCTCAGAGCCCCATCCAGCCTGGCCCTGAACACTTCCAGGAATGGGGCATCCATCCAGGATGAGGACTGGATCTCAGGAGTGAGGTTTTTAGCTATATCTTAAATGTATCTCCTGTCTCAGTATTTTGAGCTTTTGATTCCAGAGTTGTCTCATGTAAAAGCAAGTTGTGCAGAAGTCCAAAGGAAATTTACTTTGGGACCTTGAGGCCGTCACCTAATCCAGTCACATTGCAGAAAAGAAATTTCCTTGCCAAGCAGCACCATCTATCAGGTGATGGCAGCATGAGGTTTATTGGGTTTTGTGGTTTGGGGTTTTTTTGTTGGTTTGGGGAGTGAAGAGGGCTTTTGGGTGACCCTTCTCTGAGCTAGGATGGGAGCAGGGAACTTGTGCCTTTTACAGTTAAGTCTTTATCCTGGGGAGACTTTATGATACTGGTATCCCCAATTGTCTGGTTTATTTTATATTAAGTTCTGC